CGCCGACTTTCAAATCTTCTTTCATCTGTTCCATCATTAAGGTCACTCGAAGAAAAAATTTCGCTGACTATGATCAAGATATTAAAACGAACAGAATAAATGTCGAATTTTGTCGGTAATTGATATTCTGTTGAGCATTGAATGAATTTCATTAATCAAGGCAAGGTTATGAACATTCCCTAATAGAATATGTATGTCTACGTCTGTCATTAATATTGAGAATCTGAATCCTTGGAAGTAAATTTTTGAATTTATTGAAGACGAACTTAACTTCGAATGTTCTATTACAACATTTTTTTTCTTAGTATTTAATTGGGATTTGCTTAGTGTAAGTTCAAATTAAATTTTATATTAGTCCATCGTATGTTTTAATTCATTCTAAATAATCTTCATTTTGTTTTGTTATCAAAATAGAAAGTATTTTATAAAAAGAACATAACAAATTATAATTTGAAAAAGGAATGGTACTTACTCTTAATAATTTTCTTTTGCAAAATTGTTTGAAATTTCTGAATACATATAGCAGCAACAAATAAATTTGTTACTTTTCTGACACTTAAAATTTTGATTTTTAAATTAAAATAAAGATTTTAAACTATACAAGGAACAATTACGCAACTTTACAATTATACCAGAGATATTTATATTTCAATCGTAAATGTATGAAATTAATATTTAATACTCAGATATATTTGCAGTATATTTGATATATTTACATAATTGATGGCCTTTCACCATTACTCATAAAATTTCCTTTTGCATGTTAGAAATTTTTGTTAATTTATAAAATAAGAGGAAAAATTGATTTTTTCAAACATTTTATTAACTTAATAATAGAATGAATATACTATAAATCTTTTTACAGAATTTCTTTTATTATTCTTTCCACTCTTATGTACATTACAAACGCATACAAACGCAATGTATTTATAATGGAAATATTACTATATCTCGACCGGAAAGTGCAGCCTTGACAAGCTTATGGTATCCGGCTTGCTAAAACTAAATATTAGTGGATGCACTGGATGTTTATGTACGACAAATGTTTGTCGAAGAAACATAGGGTTTTTCTGACTATTTCCATCCTATTCTGGACGTACGAGAGCCGTTTCGGAGAAACGACGATAACGATTCTCCATTAAGTCATCGCGAAACTACAAACCAGTATGCTATGAAGTAATTAGAAATACGTTTAAAGGTGCACGGTTCGATTCGAGTAAACTCTCATCTCGTTTCACACTCCTTTTGACAATTACATTTATTTCGTGGAACGCCGTTAGCATTTGTCATTAAGGGATGAATTAACGACGAATATAATCTATACTTTTGCAACATCGTTGTGATGAAATTACGTTTCACTGTCTGAATGATCGTCGTCTTTAAGTGCAACGAATAATATACTTTCTGTACAGTTTCTATAAATTAAGTTTCAAAATTTGCATTTTTGATAAGATACATGCTTAGAATAATTATTAATTTTGTTGGTAAATTTATAAGAAATAAATATATGTTGTATTGTCATTTAATTAATATTTGTCAAAAGTTTGCCACTATCAAAGGAAGATTTGTGGTTGAAAAGTGGTGATATTTCATGTATCTTCGTATTTGTATGCCATAAATCTATCAGTTTCAAATGCCTTCATAGAAATCCATAATATATTCTAGACCACTGTCCCGATAAAATACGCTTCTGTAACAGCAGATAGTTCAACTATAACGAACAAAATTGCACTCAGTACATCATTTTAACTATTATCGTGCACTGAATCTTTAAAATTCTACCCAGGATTTACAATAAATCTTGTGCGATACGAATTGCCTATGAAATGAATTTGACTATTTTGCAAAAAGAACCTTTTTAAAATGATACGCGTGCATATATCATAGCGGAGGACTATGTAACAGGACTCACGTGTCGTTAAAAGAGATTTGTAGCACAGTTGGACAATTTTCGTCCTCGATTCTTCAAGTTCCTCTCGCGAAGCATACAGAATTTTTGTCCATAAAAATTTGAATCTCTCGAAGTTCGCGGAACAGCGTAGACCATCTCAAATGAAGAAGCAGCTTGGAAATCGGGCCAACGTTAACAGAAGAAATAACGAATAACGTTTAAACGTTAGCTGGCTCAAAGCTACAGATACTTCAGCAAGAAACTTGTGTTATTCTTATTTCCAATAGTAACTCTCATTACATGTGTAAACATTTTTAAACTCGTTGGTAAATTCAATTAATTTCTCATAGGTATGAAATACAATAACACATAGAAGTGTAAACACTTTTGCAAATCAATATCGGAAAAGTGTGGCAAGTTTCTTATTAGTGTGCCAGCAACGCAACAACAATCATCACGTTATGCCTTAAATACCAAAGGGAAAGAAGAAAATATCAAAGTAAAGGAGACCCTAAAGAAGTAACACGAATAGTTGACTCATGCTCTAATGTTTTGAAATTTCTAAAAGAAATTAAAACAGTACATTTATTTTAATCAGTGATCTATAAATAAGGAATACACAATACAATCAAACACATAGATAATCATCTGCATAATTTAAAATAGTTGTCGATGACCCAACGGGGTTGGCGCAACTTACATATACAATAAAAAAAAAGAAAGTTGCTGAACATAGTTGTCACCTATTTGCAAATATGACATTTATTTTTGTTGTTTTTCTATGTTATTGTAATTTATGTGAGTACTCATAGCATTGACGTCATTTGTTTCTATTCGAGATACGAATAGGAATTGACAAAAAGACAAACTAGTTTTATAATTAACTGTTTTGTTTTCTGAGAGTTGTTATTGCAGTCTTAAAATTATTCATGTGATATTTAATTCTTCATCTATTCAACACTTGAACTTAGATCATTTTGCACCGCGTAATTATTCGTAATATATGTTTATCAGAAAAAATCAATTATAAAGAACAAATTGACACGGAAATGGCTGAAGCCTCATCCATGAGATCTGACCTATCATGGAAGTGATTTTGTAATGAGTGTTCTTTGTGTTCGTTAAAAAAATTTGAAGACGAAACCCGGTTGACCGTGTGAAATTCTTACAACGATCCGTTTGTTTGTGATCTCCGAAGTGACTTAATACTGTAGCAAAGCTGAATATTTCATGGGCCCAGCGAATAGACGAGCAAATTACCAAAAAATTTTGTATGTACATCGGCCTTGAATGTCTTCCGAGATTTTCTTCATTCGAACCTTGACGAATCATTCAATGTCTCTTTGAGACATCCGGCCTCTTTTTCGACAAATCGCAGGCGAGTCTTTGAAACTGAAGGAGACAAACGCGATGAACGAAGACATATTTCTCAAATTTATTTGTTTACTATGATATAAACTGGGATTATTTAATTACAATAAATTTTGTTGTACTATTACTCTTATTATGACGATAAGAAAAAAACGTTTATGTAAATATAATTTACATACAGGAAATAATAACAGATCAACCTTTACAAGTGATTAGCGATATTTATGTAAACTTTATTTCGAATTGTCTATTTTGATTAATGTAATTCACATTCATGCTGCGCGAGTGTATTTTTGATTTCCTATTTTTTGAACAAATACATTCCAAATTCTTTTTATTAATTTTTAATTTACTGCTTAGTAAAGAATATTTTAATGTCAATAAAAACATTTTGGAATAATCTCAGTTAATAAACATAGATACGCACAAATAGATTAGATAAAGCCTTGTGTATATAAGGTTTTATTTTTATTTCTAGTGCATAAAATATATAATATGGGGGGTAGGGTATGTAATTTTGTAAAATATACTTAAAGATATAGAAGAACTTTTTAAAAATTGAAGCTTCCAAAATGTATAAACTCTAATCAAATGTTCGAAAAGTGTCTACTTTTAATAAAAATTCATTCAAAATCAACTGACAAATAAAATTTCTTTAGAAACAAGAACAAATGTTGAAGCCAGTATCTGTATAAAAATTTCATTCCAATGTATCAAAATCAATCAACATTCTCTTGCTCGCGAAATATCGATTCAAAAAGATTCGAACTAATATATCTAAAAGTTAACATGAGCAATAACTACAAAGCAGAAAACTTAATTTAGAGAATTATGAATTTTATAAAAATCCGTAAAAGAATCCTGCCTCTCTCGTTCGTCAACAAATCGTCGACTATTTGACCAATCTCCTTAATATAGTTCTAAACTATTAGTGGAACCTCGATTATCTGATTTAATCGTTCAACTAACAGTCCATACAAATGAAGACTCAAACAAACATTCTTTAAAGCGTACATATCCTGAAGTATAATCTAAGAATCCAAATTACTGAGTTGCTCGGTTAATTAAAGTCCTACTGCAATATGATAGTAATGTGATATTGATAATGCCTTGAAAACGTGGTTTCACCCCCTCAAACATTCGAATATTCTAAGTCGGGGAGAGATGGCCCACTTTTTAAAAAAAAAGTGTTGCCTCTTAAATATCATTAATATCTAACAAAATATTGAAGTTAATAACAATATGAAATACGTTAACAATATATAAGTTAACAATATTAACAATATGAAAGGAAATGTATATAAGAAGAATAGTTCAATAGCTTTCTGTGTAAGGTTCAGTACACGATTAAGAACAATTGAAAATATAAGTATTTAAAAATCTAAATGGCCATCTCACCTGAAATGACCAAACACGTTAAATACCCGTTATAAAATAATAAAATAAATTCACTTGAGGCTTATCATTTGTAGCAAACAATGAAATATTCACAAAATATATAAAGAATTAAATAGAAAAATAGTTGTGAGAGTCGCTACAAGATTGGTGACGACACAAAAGGTTTGTGTTTGGAAATAATAGCGGCATAATCGTCAAGGCTATTTCTTAATTGGCCGATAACACCTCCATTAAGCGAACGATCCCTGGATAAAGGTAGCACGTGACAGTACGTGTTTTCGTGGGTCATTTTTTAGGGCAGCCTACTGGCACTGGGTGGTTCGTGTGGGGGATTTCGTGTCCGCGCGGTTTTATGGTGCGCTGTGGCACCAGATAAGTGGGACATACGCTTCTGCATCTCGGTATTTCGTAGTGAACTCGCCACCAGGTCGGATCGCACCTGCACCACGCACCGTGGTACCTACGTGACAATATCGGTGTCACTTATCACGGCGGCCAACGGACCACGCGATATACTTGTTTAACCGAAGGATCTTCCTGCTACAGCGGAGAACTCAAATACGTAAGTTGTGATATTGCCTCTTGCGATACGGCACAGCAAGTGAATTTTTCGTGCTAAAGTGACCAATCATTTGTAAGATACGGGATAAGGTTCTTTATAAGTTTTCATGTTTCTGATAGTTCGAAAGTGATCGAAAGGATTCTAGTTAGCATTAGTGATACTAGATTTTTTTCTATGGGTAAGATTCAAAAAGTTTCCCTAGTGTCAAAGGATTTTAGTTCATAGAAAAATGTTATTTAGAGTTAATGTGGATTTAATGGGATTCTCCGAGTAAAGGGACTCTTTTGTAGAATGAACTGCTGTTTTTTTGTCGTTTTGTGAGTGAAAGTTCTAGCAATTAAAGTTCTAATGGTATTGGAAGATTGAAGGATTCAATTTCACAGTGGATCGTTATTTGTAAATTCATAATACCTCGCGTCAAGTGCACCTCTTGGCATAAAATAATGAACCTTTTGTAGAATAAATTATTCTTTTTTAGTTTCGATGTATTGAAAATGATAAATGAAAAAATTGTCTGTAGTATTGAAAAATATAATTTTTAGCATGAAATGAATATATTTGTGTAAAGTGATACAATTTTTCTGCACAATAAATTGTCCTTCTTTATTGTTGTTGGTTTGGGCATTTTTAACAAAACGTTAACCGATACACCTTTCGAAATATCATGAACTTTTGTTTTGTGGCATTAGAACTTGTTGAAATTCCTTCTTATCGCGTGCTGACCTTAAATGCATGGTTAACTACCTAACCGTAACTTTAAATTAGTCGTAAAACAAGCAGTGGTAAAATATGTGGTACTATTTTCAATTATTGATAGTTCTACACTCTAGAAAGGTGGACTTTTTTTCATCGCGCTCTTATGCAAAAGTAAGTCTTTGAAAAATTGTTTTCTTGAAGTTGATGTTTGAGCAGATGTTTATTGGAGAAATAAACATTTATTTAGATTTTATTGAGTAGGTGGAATAGAAATCATCATTTTAGGCACGGATGAATTTACTGTGAAGCTATTACTTCATTTACTCAGTTACCTAATATCTATTGTTTAATTGTATTCCACGATCTTTATGAAGTTGTTACATTTATAATTAATGGTTAATAAAAATAATGTTGTTATTTAACTTAATTATAAAACCGTCATAATTTTACAACCAACTCAATGTTTTAAATTCTATTAAATAACAACAAATAGGAATAGTTTTATTTGGTCAATATTTCATTGTGGTCTTCTCTAACGACACACTCTTTCTCTTCTCTAAAGAACATTTTTCTCTTTCGTTTTTCACTTTCTGTTTGATGCTTAGAAATTTATGGTCTGTCACATACATGTAGCAGAATAAAAACTGTGTGATTGTTAAGATTGAACGTTTTACCGTTCACAAAAGGAACAAGTCTTTTGAGGGAATAGAAATTATTGCTGACTTTTGATAATGTAGGTTACTTGAAACTTCTTCACTGCTGACAGTAAGAATAGTAGAACACAGCAACTCAGATGTTGAATCATCTTGAAGTACCACTAACCTTAGTAATCAACGATGAAAACAGTACATAACTTTTCGTTCCTCATAATAAAATCTTATATTGATCAAGAAAATTAATATTAATTTTTTTTCGAATATTATATATTCTTGTATTCAAAGAAAGAAACATTTCTCGAGAACATTCATAGTGTGCTTGTGTAATTATTCACAATTAAGCCTTCCCGTATGCAATAATTAATAATTAGAGTTACATAAAAAGATAAAATTAGAGTTAAAATTATTATCAAACTAAAGCTTTGAACACTAAAACAACCAACATAGGAACTCTACTAATTCATACCACGTCCGTTAATATGACAAATATTTATAAAAACGCTTTATTTGTTGGAATTTTTAATTTCTTTAAAATTCAAATAATTAAACAACAACAACTATTAGTTACAAAAAATATTAACGTTTCGTGTTTAGTTTTTTATTCTTAAAAATAAAATTTATTTAGACTCTTTCTTGTAAATAATTGATGTTTTAGCAGCTTCAGATGACAAACACAAACGGAATATTATTTCGTCGGTTTACCTTAATTAAAATATCAGACAGTCATGGAATAAGTTATAGAATTGTTGAACTCATCACGTTGACGTATTTTAAGCATGTTTAAATATTTTAATTACAAAACTTTAAAACACGAATGGTCGATGAAAAAGAAATTTATATATATATATACCCATTTTTTTATTTTGACAAAAGTGATTATAAGCAACAATAAAAGCGTTTGCAATAGATTCAGCGATTTAAAACAGATGAAATCCCTTATTTTGATGAATTTGGTCGGGCCAATCCTACTGAACGTTAATGTTATGTATTATCAAATGGCAAAGAAAAGCTTATATGTTCAAAATTATTGGATATGTTCAAGTTTATTTTACAGCATTTCCAGTTGTAATGTGCGTCGATTCATTACATTCGGCAATTATTCGAATAACACGTCACGCCATTATTCTCTTGTTATTTCACGTTTGTTAGCAAGTGTTGTAGCACGTTCAGAACGAAAATATAACAATTCGTAAATATTCACACATAAAACGGAGATAACAAAAGAAGTCGCGTACTGAAAGGATACTCAGGACATTTTTTTCAAGGACATTCTTCGTTTATCATTTAATTATTTGTGCAATTATTATTTGTCAATCAATTAATATATTTTCCGTTGGAGATATTTAGATATTTTTTCTACTTTTTATTTATCTTCACTCATATATTTATTCTTCTTTAAAAATATTTTAAAGTATTGAGATATTCAAGAAGACATTTCTTGATACCTAACATTCAGATTATTCAGAAAAACATTTAAAAGTTAATTAATTTTTAATTAATTTCAAAGTTCTTGTTAACACTTGCAAAAACTTCAAAACCTTTCAATATTAGGAAATTTTGCTAATTGCGTTATACCATTTTGAAAAACAATTTATCTTCACAAGTTGGACGATAAATTTTTCTTAGTGTAGCCGTAAATGAAAGGAAAGATAAATATACAAAAATCAATTAATCGAACAATATAAGAATTGATATAAAGTTAAATGATCGAACGAAAATGCAAACTTTTAAATTAAATTTTATTCGATGTTAAATTAAAAAAGTTAAATTAAAAAATGTGAAGAAAGCAGTCTCAGCTGTTTTCAAAACTTGTAGTATTAATTTTTTTGAACATTGGTTGAATGATAGTCGAATGAACAAAAAGAATCTCATATTCTATTTTAAAACGATCACTTTATTAATTTCTTTCCTATTTCTGATAACGAAGCTGCGGTTTCCCAATGTTTCTATGCTTTTACGATAAATGTACAAATTCTAGTAACTATATATTCAATATTTTTCATTCGCTTTCACGTTTCGTTCCGAAGAATGTTGAGAACTTTCTACGTGGTACACTTTCTTAATTGGCTGGTCTGCTTACTAGACTGGAATTGTATCATCCCTTGAATCTATGACGCTAAGAAGAACGGTCCTTCGCGACAAAAACTTGCGGTATCAATCGCAATTTCCTTCATGACTAATCGTACTGGATAGCGTGGATGCATGCTGGGCCATTACTTTCCACTACTTACCCGTTTTTGCTCCTCTCCTTCGTTACACCAGTCGTCATTTTCTTATCACAACATCGAATCGATTGTCATGAATAGACGCAGACATGCAGCGTTCACGCTTTTAAAACATTTAAAAGTCCGCGAAGTATAACAAAACAAGATCGTCTGTCAAGATTAATGAAACATTAATTTCTATTTTGCCTTAACGATCCTTTAATTCATTGCACAAATTTCTCTTTACTTCTGATTTATTTGGAATCTTTGTGAACGTATGCAATTTAAATAGAAGCGTTACAATGACGGAAATTATTCAGATGAGAATTAATTATATACTTACATTATGGAAAGAAATGTATACATACAATATTTACTTTTACTTTTAACTGTTAACATGATTTCTATTGAAACATTAGAATAAAAAGTATTTGTATTGGATCACAGTATACAAATTTTTGTTAATTTCTAAGCAATGTGTAATTTTTAACACGTTGAATGCGATGAGGGTCACCGGTGACCCCCAACCAAATCGAATTACTATAGTTCATTCAATTAAACGATGATTATTTGAAAACATTTCTATATTATAAATAATGCTACCTAATGCGGTGTCATTTAGCTATATCAACGTGTAATAATAATAATGCAACTCAAACAAATGATTTAATGTTATATTCTTTCCATTTTTTGTATTTTGCTCTATGAAATCATGCGGTATTCAACGTGTTAATTTAACGTTTTAATCTCGCAACGTGCAAATAGTATATAAAAAACCGCCAAAAGGTTCTAATTTCTCACCATTGTATGTTAATGTTAAACAGTTTTTCATTTTTAAACTGCACAAAATTTATCAACATCGTTCTTTCAATGTTGAAGTAAGGAAATAAAAACTTGCAGTCACAAACAGTGGTTATCTTAGAAAAGTATTCATTCGAAACAGTTTGAAAAACACTGAAGAATATTTTACGTATATTCAATTCTAAATTATTATTTTCATTACTATTAAATTAATAAAAGTTAGATAACTTCCTTGCAAATTAATTAAATTGCCATTACTAAGACCCCTAATATATTTTTAAACATTTATTAACATTAGGTCTAATAGAAAAACTGATCTGAACTTATTTAAAGAATCCGTTGAATCCAAGTTAAGTTTCCTTGAAATCAAATAACAATTCGAAGCGTTAAATAAAACGGCTTTTCTCTCTCATAAAAATACAAGCATTTCTTAATGCTTAATTTATTTTCTACAACGTAGCTATATCTTATTACAATGTTTATCAGCGTGTCTACAGACGGAGAAAAGCTTTGCGTGCCGTGTCCTTTAATCGGCGAAAACAATCTCACTTACGTGCGCCTATTTCAATTGTCGATGAATCGTTATCGTTGTCCCGGTTTTACGGCTTCGGATGTTCCGCTTGTACGATATGCAAATTCTACG